AGCCCAGGAGTTGGAGGTTGCTGTGAGCTGTGATGCCATGGCACTCTACCCAGGGGGATAGCTTGAGGCTCTGTCTCAAAAAAAAAAAAAAAAGATAACAGTTCCTATTTCACAGAGTTACTGTATTATTGGCTAATCCAGTAGAATGCTTAGCACAATGCCTGGAACATAGCAAACACCAAATAAATATTAACTATTTTATTAAAGAAAAAATAGGGCACATACATGGTAAAGAAGACACATTCCATATCCCTTAACTAGGGGCCTCACACAGCTCTTTCTATGCAAGCACACTGTTGCAAATCTGAATAAAACATGTATTTTAAGTATGCTATAGGAATGTATTCTCTAAGACAACCCTGAAACAGGGATCCACTTATAAAGTCAAGCATCTTTCTGAATAGAAAGTGATCATGTACCCACTAACTGGCTTGCATACTTCTGGGTACAGGGTCCAGTTTTTTCCAAAGCAAAGCACACCAAGAGTTACTTTAGGAAGCAAGGTTCCAAAACTTGGCTTCAAAACCTCAGTCCAGGGGGTGGTGCCTGTGGCTCAAAAGGGCAGAGCACAGCCCCATATGCCAGAGGTGGCAGGTTCAAACCCAGCCCTGGCAGAAAAAAAAAAAACCACCTCAGTCCAGCTGAGTTGCCCTTGTCCCAAAATATTCAAATAAGTTAACATGCTTTTATTTATTTTTTATCATAAAACAGGATCTCACTTTGTCACCCAGACTACAGCGCTGTGGCATCATCCTAGCTCACTGAGATCTCAAGCACTTCTCTAAGGCCTTCAAGACAACCCCCCCTTCCCTTCCTATAAAAAATGCCACGCCTCAGTGAGAAAATGTCCATTCACTTTTGGTGTTCATTAGCATCCCAGTGTCACCATATCCACCCACCCACCCCACTTCCTGTTGCATTCCTCAACAGACCCTTTTAATTTCTTCATCTAAAAATGGAACTAAAACAGTGCTTTCCTCTTAAATGACATAGTGTATGACATAAATTAGTAAATGGTAGCTATTGTTTTTAGTGTTTCTACCAGATCCCTATAGAGATGCTTTCCAAAGGTATAAATGATTTTCTTTTTTTTTTT